TGCTCAACACCTGTCTCCTTCCTCCTCGCCAGGCAATTCATCCTGGTAAACAATTTCGACGTGAAGGAGCTCCCCGAGGGTGTGTTTGGGGATGTCACTTTTGAGTCAATCTACATGGAAGACGACCAACTCGCAACAATACATCCCTCGGTCTTCCTCTCGTCCAAGGATCGTCTTGCGAACGTGACCGTCGCGAACATCCAGGATGACGTCATCCTGACGTTCCCCTTTGAAATCTTCCCTCAGCTGATGCATCTCACGCACCTCGCTCTTCGGAGAAACGATGCCCTGGAGACCGTAGGGTCCATCAGCAGCGCAAGTCTCGAGTTTCTCGAGCTATCGGAGAATGGCATCTCCTTCTTGGAGGGCGGGTGGTCCACGCCGAATGTGAACTTTTTTTCCCTCTACTGTGAGTCAGTCATGGAGGCGTACTCATATGGTAAACCTGGGGTCATGGGCATATTATTATCATTGCTCTGTCAAGTTACTTCCCATTGTGTGAGGTCATTGCAAAATACACGGAAATCTTTAGTTTCTTTCAATAGTCGTGCCGAGAGGTACTTCTGTAAGGTATATTAGCTATATTTACCTACTCGAATCGTTTTATGGAATACATTTTTGGAAATGTGCTGCATAAATACCGTGTTGAAATGGAAATGAAAAATCAGGAATTTCCTTTGAATAATCTTTTACAGAAAATCTTAACGAAATTTTTAGCTTACTGCATCGTTAATGGGGCAATTCATTTAATGGGAAATGTCTCGAAAGAAGAGTTGTTTTCTAAATATGCATCTGGACAGGTATCATTGCGCATAAGTTTCAGTTTTTCTCCGTTTCGTCAGAGCAAAAATTGTTGGGAACACCAATGTTTAAAAAAACTAATATCCTTGTGGGGATGTACCCGAAAATTAGAAAATTTTATAAAATAAGTACTCCAAAAACTTAAGGATTATGAAATTTCAATTATCTATTTCTCCACTTTGAAGCTTCCTGCTGCGAATATATCTTCAGAAAAAAAAGGGAAAATTTTATCTTAAAAAATTGGCGAAAGAGGAAAATTGGAATGGAGAGAGGCACTTCTATGCCAAATAGTAACTCTCAATAATTGCGATTTTCGAAGTATTTGTTTACTTTTTAAAAACTGTTAATACAACTTGCATATTTAAAGTACGAGGTACGTCCCTGGCGAAATACTCAACGTCAAGTACTCATGAGAAGACGTAACCTACAATTTTGTTTTGGTAATGGACGGCAGCTGATGGGGTCGGTGGTTGGAATTCCCGGCTCCAAGATAACCGCAACTTTTGCGTGGTGGCAAGTTTCTCGGATGCGTGCGGTGTCGTGGATACAACAGCAGAAGCTAGCGAGTTATTTGCGTCTACTGGGGCGAGGGTTCTTGAGGAATTCTAGGTACCATCGGTCCGGCGGCTTTCCCTGGCTTTGTTGAGGACAGTGCTCGGTCCACTTCTGTTGTGTAGGTCGCCAACGCGGGGGAACAGCATTGAGGAAACGTGTAAGCATTACATTGATTCTGCGCTTGTATTTTTTTGCTCGTCCGCGCCATTGAGTTGGTAAGAAACTGTACGCAACGTCGTCGGCTCATACTTTTGGCTGCACAGCTTCTGGCAGCGTGACAGCCCCCATGCGGCGCAGCAGGTTCCACGGTTTCCTGCTCGAGTGCTTGAAGTTCATGTTTTCAGCGATTTCGCGACATCTAGCTAAACGGGCTACGTCCAGGGAGTCTAGGAGAGCTGTTGCCGTGTCTGAATCCTGTTTGGCATTGAGCTCTGTCAAGAGTCTTTCGCTAGGGGAACAGCAATGACGTACTCCTTCCTGTAGCCGAAGGCCAAGCTCTTAGCTTCGGTCACTTTTAGCAACCGAATGAATCGGCCGTAGTTTTCTGGGGACGGTGGGATGCTGCGAAAGATGGATTCCGTGAATTCGTTGAAGGCGGAACAGGAAAATGTTGTAGGTTCCACCTCTGCTTTGGGATGGAAGGGATGACCGGCACTTCAACTCTTCCAGGCAGGATGCTAGTTCAGTGCAGGGAATATGGGGAGCTATTGAGGACCTTCATGGAACTGGTCGTTACTAAACAATAAATACCTATTATAGTAATAACCGCCTATAATTATTTTCCTCGGTGACTTTCAATTAGTTGATTTTGGGCTTCATTGGACTGATAAAATGTATATATTCCGCCGATTCGAGAGAGGAGTGGCTTCAAGCGTCAATTGAGGCCGCTCAATTGGCGATTGTCTTGTTCTTACAACCAATAATGTCACCTAGGAATGGGAAGGGTGGTTGCTTTATAACCGCACTAGCGGCCTGCGGCCGCTACGCTGGCAGTCTAATAGGTGGAAATTTGAATCGTATATTGTGTGCTTAACGTCTCCTTGGCAATTCTGTTCATCGCATTACCCATTCGGAACTGAACTGCTTCATTACATTTATATACATATAGCTTACAGTACACAGGGATATTCTGCTCCTAAACACCATCATCATGATATTCAGGCCTACAAGGCTGCGCCTTTCCAACCCATCAACTTATACTTTAATTCGAAGAGCCCGAGAGTTGCGGTGATGGTGGTTGTCACCCCAGCGCGCGAGGCCTACAAGACTATGTCACTTCAAGCCATAGGCTGGGCCATCCACCTCTCAAAGCGCCAGGTCCTTGAGGTTCTATTCTAGGCCATAGGCTTGGCCATCCAACGCTTATAGCGCCAGCTGTATCAGTCTGAGCCATAGGCTTCATACTTCGCTGTGTCAAGCTAAGGGTGCTACTAACTGCATGCATGTCACGTTTTCACTGATCGACTGCAAGTTCTCCATTTAAATATATTCTGTGCTCAAGTGTTTTTTTCTGTATTTATTTATTTTTTTCCGTTAGGTCAGGCGTGGCGGTTCGGAACATCGCTTCCATGCTTCCGTTTTTCCACGCTTCCGTTTTCTGTTTGCGTTTTATGTCATGGCCTATTTATTTGAGTTTTCATGATTGATGAAATCAAAATGATAACGTAAGTTCTTTGTTTCATACATCGTGCAAACGGGCCGCTCCTCCCACAAATATTGTAGCGATTTTTGCGAGGTGAGTTTGAACGTGTAAAAAAATGTTGAAAGAGGTCCCACAGGACGACGATGAGGCAGTCGCTGCAGATAATAAACGATTGGTGCTGGCACGGAAATAACGTTTGCCACTGCAGTTGCGGTGCGAAGTGCCTAAATCGATGTTTTAGGAGGTTCTAGCCATAATGGCTAGAATGACTGATGAACAGCACCCAGTTGCATGTAGGGAGCGGGAGCGTAAAGCTGAACAGCAAGAGGCAGGGAATGCTGGAGCTCAGGAATAGGAGAGCCATGCAGCCTGGTGGGCAACTTGATGCAAGGAACGCAGCACTCAGGTGTCGAAAGCTGGTGGACGGCCGGGAATTGAACCCAGCCTCTTGCTTGCTAGTCAGGTGTGCTTTCGTTACACCACGGAACTCGGGACATTTCGTCAGGCCTCTCCATGTCATCTCAAATCACTACAGTCGTTTGCGCAGCGAGCAGTCAGGCTGTCCATTTTGCTGTAGGGAGGGTACATTTCTGTTGTGGCAGCATTGTGAAACAAAAGTGCTTCTGCTGCAACTCACACTTAACGCTCACACTGTTGTTCACTGGTGCTAATGTGGAGGCGAGACATTTTCAGGAATTATTCCTTAGTATTCTGTTGCAAATGCTTTAAATTCCCTCTGTGCTAAAGTCGAAGAGGTTCTTGGAAATGACCCGTACTGTTTCAGATTCAGTGGTGCCTGTACCATAAACTAATGCTAATTACCCATAAGCTAATTGGTGATGGTAAGACTATGGAATGTGCTGGGAAGAAGTTGCGGTGGTGGCTGTCACCGCAACGCGCGAGGCCTACGAGACTAGATCATTAAATTCATAGCCTTAGGCTATGTCGTCCACCACTCCAAGCGTCAGGTCCATGGGGCTATATCAGTCTGAGCCATAGGCTTTGGCTCATCCTATTATTTCCATAGGCTTGGATTAGATTATAATCTGCGATCAACAGCAAGCACATGTACGCTGGGAGCTTAGAGCCGCTCAGACCGCTGAATACCTCGTAGCAAGAGGCAGCAAATGCTGAGCTTCGGTATAGGAAAGCCGTTAAGCCTGCTAAGCAACTTGATGCAAGGTTGGCATTTTCAGGAATTAGTCTTTGGCATTGTGCCGCACATGCACTAACTTCCCTCTGTGCCGTTGAAGAATTTCTTGGAAACGGTCCGTACTATTTCAGAATCATTGGTGTCTGTACCATACACTAAAGCTAATAGCCGATGAACTAATCGGTGCAAGAGTGTTGAATGTGTTGGGAAGACGAAATGAGCAATGTCGCCTTGAGTCTCATGAAAACGTGCTAAACCGAGGCGTTCACAATGGCGATTATGACAATCAGCTCGAATATCATGATGATGGTGTTTAGGAGCAGAATATCCCTGTGTACTGTAAGCTATATGTATATAAATGTAATGAAGCAGTTTAGTTCCGAATGGGTAATGCGATGAACAGAGAATTGTCAAGGAGACGTTAAGCACATAATAGACGATTTAAATTTCCACCGATTAGACGGCCACCGTAGCGGCCGCAGGCCGCTAGTAGAACTCTAATTTTAAAAAATCCCTAGTCTCAGAGGCAAATGCTCTTCTTAATCTATCTCTGAATGAAACAATAAAAAGACCTTGTTGCATATATGCAACCAAATTTAAGAGTCTAATATGCCAAATGACCCTGAATTGTAAGAAATTGAGTGAATCATTTTAATTTTTTTTAGTTTGTCTCAAAATATTGCAAAACTGGCTTTCATTTCTCCATAGCCAAATCCTGATGAAAATCGGATATACGAACCAACAAAACTGTTCGAAAACTGTCGTCATTTGACAGGGAATGATTAATCCAAGTATTTATTGGAGAGATCACACCTCGTAAATGTACGTTCTGCCGAGGGCATTACGCTGATGTACGGTTATTGTTATGTGAACCAATGTTATATTAACATTTTGGAAGACCAACACTTTCTGGTTCATTCGATTTACCTCGAGACTTGATGGATCATTTTGGATTTCGTTTGCTCCTTCAGACAACCGAAACCTCACGGATCTCCCTCCCGGACTGTTCGACAGCATGGAGAACTTGGAGTCCTTCAATTGCGATTACTGCGGTTTGGGCCCCACTCTTCGAGCCGGGTCCCTAGCGTTCAGCAGTCCGACCTTGACGCACGTACGCCTCGCAGAGAATGATTTCGTCAGTCTCGAGCCGGGTGCCATCTCGGGTGAGCGTTAAAACCTGTTCTTAAAAACCGTTGTCTCCCTTCCTCTCATCGACTGAAATGATTTTCGTTTTGGTGGCGGGCCAATTGTGTGAAGCCAAGGGTGGGCTAGGAGTAGGGACCAGGGAGTTTCACTTATTTTATAATCTAAACTAGTGGCAGGTAAAACCTGCTGCAAACCGGAGGCGATTAGTAGGTTTGAAGGTACTATCTTACATTGTCAGTGAAAGTCTGGTGGAGGAACGTGGGAAAGTTGAATCCTATCATATAAGTTTTTATTCTATCCTCAACTACCTTATATTCAAGAGTCAGATATCTTTCAAGATAAACCCCTTTATAAGAGAGAGAGGTGATGATAGACGTTACAATTAGGTTCCATGCAGTCACCTTGGAAGTTGAACTATCCTCCCTCTATCGTTCGAGCCAGAGTTCTCAGTTCTCTGGAAACTCCTTGGACTGGATTACCTCTAAAATCGAATTTATTCAAGAATTCGAGTATCTTCCGCTCTGGTTTATGTGGAGAAAGATCTGCTACATTATGGAAAGTATTGGGGACTATTTCCAGCTGTATCAGTAATTAAACCGCTACAGCGACTACTTTGGTGTCATCTAGCGACGGTTGTGCAAATCTTTGCCATAAGCCTGTGTTAGATGGATAGCATTGATATGCTTCAGGAAGACATTTTAAACGTTGGACAAATGTCCTTCAAATCCAGCATTTTTCGTAATTAAAAAAAAAAACTTAACTGAGCGCCAAAAAGGGGCACATTCTGGCACACTGGATGTCCAAAGACCTCCTTGAATCCATGTTGAACGTCCTCGAAAGCGTATATGTGCTACTTGGGCAATATCATATGCAGTGGCGGCTAGTGATATTAAGGGCTAGTGGTTCGTCTATGGAGAGGGGGTAGACATTGCCCTCCCCTGCTTAACCCCTCTCCATAGACGAACCACTGGAGGCATATTGCCTTGGGAGAGACGTTTTGCTAGAATTTGTTTGGCTCCAGTGAATCGGGCAGTAGTAGAATGTGAAACTTGGCACCGAATTAGCGGTTGTGATGTTAAGTTCGGGAAAACTAGATTTCATTGTTCAAACCCTCAGAGCAAAATATATTATTGGAATCTTTCCCCAATGACATTTTCGCTGGAGCGAGTTGGGCAAAAATAAAAAATAAACTAATATTTGGCAACGAAATTGTTCTTGGGGGTTTGCTTAGGAGGAGGAGTCCTAGGAGACTACAGTTTTGGGCTTTTACTTTCATCCACAATACCACACGGCACAAATGTTCAAAATAAGTTTATTTCCAGCTCTAAATACGATTATGAAAGATTTAGCATTAAACGATACGGGTGGGACAATTTTGACTCGAAATGTCGCCTTTCATATATACGAGCTTGTACAAGTCTATCACTCTGTCTCCTATCATGGGGCAACAAAGTGCATCAGCGAGTGCAATTATACTACTGTACCTATTAGGGTAAGCATGTAATACACGTGTTACGAGTTGGACAGTTACGCTTGAAATTTATGAGTAAGAGCAAGAAACAAATCATTTCCAAACTTATTGCAGATCTGTGATGGTTCCAATTACTTGTAATCCCTTTAGGGATGATGACGTCTTCAAGTGACAAAGATCAGCTCACCATTTTCAGTTCGCCTATTGATGACACTATCGTTACTGGTGGGACGAAAATTATGGCCAATTCTGAAGACATCTATAGTCCTATGCAAAGCTAGAGTGATATTGTCTCTAAAAGCAGTCAGAGTGCATTCTGAAAATGATTATTATGTCTGTAATGTTGTGCCATGTGTTTTGAAAAAAAAATCGAAGAGGTATTTCTTTGGCAAAGGAATGTTCTGAGCGTACTAAAGCAAAGACGCTTTACGGGCCTGTCGATTCCGCTTCGATGTACTGCGGAAAGGACCGGCCATGACCTTTGTGGCAATTTTAACACATGATGACCCTCTTCCAAAGCCAATCGGTTCTCAATTTCACCGAAGGTAACCAACAGAGAAGCAAAATTCACAATAATAAACATCTGGTAAATCATGAATGAATCCTCTTTTCTCGAAAGGAAGCTCGCTTCGAAAGAATTTACATGTATATGTGCATCGAAAAAAGTTACGCAGAATTTGTTAGGCTCTCCATTTTCTAGGGGTTCGAGCCAGGATCCTTCCAGACTACATACATTGCCCTTTGAATCGATATTTCTCTAACAATTTCGCACTACTCATCACAACGCATTTACGAGCGCGATCACAAAAACTCTTAAAAATTGGAGGAGAGAGAACAAGAAAATAATTCTCGCATTCCGGATTCCAGGTGTTGTTCCCGACACGTACGTCGTTCTCGAGCGAAACAGAATCGCCGATTTGAGAGAAGAAGCGTTTCGTCCCATTTTAGAGGTCCTATCCCAGGGGAGCGGAGGAATAAATCTAACCAGTGAGTACTCAAGGTTTCCTTCTCTTTTTTCCTTAGACGCTTATTTTCCTTTCCTCTCCTTTCTTTCACGAGAACTGTGAACGCATCTACGAGCTGAAGGTTTTGATGTCAGTGATTTCATCCCACCCATCGGCTTCCTTGCGGTAATCTGTATTCGTGCTTTCAATCTTCGTATTTCCGACCCTCCTGGGCTTGGTTTTATGAACTTCTACCCGTTACTTGCATTCGTACTGATGCGCTAATGTACGGTCCCAGCAAGCACAAGAGCGTTGGAGGAATGCAGTGTAACTAGTTTCTCAACCTGCTTTCCGAATTTCCTCCTCATTACCCTTCTTGTCTTATTCTTCCTCTTTCGTCGCTGGTTCTGTCATGGCCACGAACGACTGAAATGAACCCGCAAGATGGTATTTCTTGGGGTGAACAATTTTCGTACGACATTACAGATACCTTGCAGACATTATTTTACTAGCTATGGTCGCGCCTTCGGCGCTCCATTACCTTGGATAATGATTAATTCATTTATTCTTTGCGAAATGGCAGACACGTATTTAAAGTACGTCCCCATTAAAATACGTGACATATGGTGACGAAAGTCTTGATTTTTAGCAAAATCATTACTTCTATGATTTCTAGCGTGCCTCACTTAAAATCTTTTCATGTGTCCCTTTTTGTAACGGTGGAGAATACGTTTTGAAATACTTCCCTCCTATAATCTACGCTAAGGGGACATATTTCAAAAGTAGGATTTTTCCTGTACTTAGCAATCAAACAGGTACTTCTGAGGGAAGTTTAAGTTTTCTGTCTCTGTTTCGTTGGATCAGAAAAAAAATGCGGAAAACGGGAATGAAAAAAAGGGCCCCAATGAGTTTTAACGAAAAGTCTATTTATTCTGAAATGTGGACTCGGGGAACTCCATGCCACCCAGTTTCAGCCTCATACATTTCTCCTTTTTTGCTGGCGGTAAAAAATTTATTTGGAAATGCGACCCACCCAAAAGCTGTGCTCTTAGGAGACGCACAACAAAAGCTGCCTTTTTCTTGAAATGAACATCTCGTTCGTTATGCGTGCGCCAGCTACTACTTTTCTATTTCTGCTCGCTTCGCTAGGATAAGAACAATCCTTTAAAAAGTTACGTCCCCAAGAAATATGCCTCCCAAATTATTTTGGAAATTTGACATTTTTCCTGAGCTCAGTGCAGCAGTCACGTTCTTCCCAAGTTTCAGCTTTCCATATGTCTCCGTTTGATTGAAGCAATAAGAACTATTTGAAAATATGTTGCCCAAAAAAGGAGTGCCCCAATAGCATGTATCACCAAAGTATAATTTTTTCTTTACTCAGCTATCCATCAGGTTCTTCTTTTCCAAGTATAACCTTTCTAGCGCCCTCTGTTTTGCTGGATCAGAAAATTCGAGAAAATATGCCTTTTGGAAAGTATGAGCCATGAGACGTTTTGACAGAAAAGTACCCTTTTTTTAAAACTGAAATCAATCCTTAAAGAACTACATGCCCACAAAGTTTCAACCTTATATGTTTCCCCTTTTCGCTGGTGAAAAACATGTTTGGAAAAGCCGACCCACCCAAAAGCTATGCCCGGCGGGGATGCACCACGAAAGGTGAATACTCCCTCAACTCAATAATATCATGTCACTTATACGTGTGTCAAGTTTCATCTTTCAATTTCTGTCCACTTCGCCGCGACAAAATTTTTTATTTAAGCATCGCCCCTTGAAAACATTCCCCCAGGGGATGTATCGAGACTGAACACTATTCTTTAACTCCTTGTCTCAGTAGTCACATTCATGCAAAGTTTCAGCTTTCCATGTTCATCAGTTTAACTGATGCAAAAAAAAAATACTTGAAAGCATCTCCCTTTGAAATTTGTGTCCACAGGGCATTTACTTCCTAAGTCTCAATTTTTATGCACGAAGCATCCCAATAGGTAGTTATGCATCAAGTTTCCTCTTTCCACACTCGCCCAATACGCCAGGACAAAAAAGAATTGCTTGAAAAAGTCGACACTCAAAAATATGCCCCCAGGACATGGATCTAAATTTTAAATCTTCCTGAACTTGGTCTCGGTAGGCCCGTCCATGCCTAGTTTGCGTTTTCCATGTCTCTCCGTTTTACTAAAGCATGAATATTGTTACGATGAGGGAAACAGTAGCCGGATTTGGAAGGCATGAGATGCCGAGAGAAAGCCAAGAAATGACCGGGAATTGAACCTGGGCCTCCTGACTGCTGGTCAGGTGTGCTATCACTACACCGCCGAACCCGAGACAATGTGTATTTAATAATTTCTCCCTCCAAAATGTGTTTTCCCAGGGCATGTACCTCCGTAGTCGGATTTTTTCTGAACTCTGCATCCCAGTAGGTACATGTTTTCGAAGTTTGAGATTTCTAACCTTTCTACAACATTGTTAGAATTAGCGTCAGTCAGTCACCAAGCTGCATTTTGCAAGCAAGAAGTGAAGACATCAACCAACGTTTACCAGGAATAAGTCTTAGAGAAGTCAGTGAAGCCTCTCAGCTAAACAATGT